AAGTTTTGAACATCTCTTTGCAATTATCCCTCTTGTACTTGTACTCTGAACAAAATTTACATTAACGGTTCCATAAAATCAAAAAGTTGTTGATTTCAGAGACGCTTTGCGACTAAATTGAGCTTCTGAGCAGCACAAATATTTTATGTGGTAAGAAGTAAGGAAATGAACAATAATAAAGTGTCATAATCCAATTAGTAATGTTGAAGAGTAGAATAACGAGAAAATAAATATATCTGTACTGTATGTAGTTGTAGCAAATCTCTACTTTTTGGTTATAGTTTGTATTTTACAGTACACAAATCGGTCAATCTGAATTTATATATATATATATGAAGATATAGATTTGCATTTTGACTTACACGCCTCCAAAATATAAACCTTGTAAACTCATAGGCCTCCAAAACCGGAGGCGAATTCGAAAAATCGGAGTCCAATACGTATCGCCATGTATAACAGTCGCAAGTTGTTTCAATGGTCCTAAGGTGTATTGTCACCAATTTTACCCTGGAGGCGTTTTGGTAGTCTACACACGCACAGTTACACAACGTAGTTCCGCATAATTCCACCACGTGGCGCTACAATCTTATACACATATACGCTAGGACAGTGTGTTGTACGGACTGGTCTCCATACAAAAATTGCAATATTATGCCTGGAAAATTGGCAAACATAGTTGAGGCAACACGTATGTATATAATACCAATTTTAGATATACCTACTCAATTCGATATTTACCCATTTGCTTTTTTTATTTACTACTTTTCAAATTTTATATAAAGAAACTTTAGTATAATAATTTGAAAAACTAATACACTCATATGCAGAGAAGATTATACTATGTAATAATGGAACTTAAATGTTTAAAGACTTAAGGGTCTATCAACATTATTCATAATTATTATACTTAACTTGCTACTCAGAGGCGACATATTTTTGTGTCCAACAATTTACAGATGCATATTAATAGAATGTGGTAGGCAATTATTCAGTATTGAAAACTTAAAAAAAAACTTTTATTTATTTTAACCTACAGTTATTAAGTATAAACTTTCTATTCTCTGACCAATTTTGAATTATATAGTAAAATAATGTACAGCGTGATTCAAAATTGGTGCCTTGATCCAATATCAGAAATATGGTAAATGAATATGCAACATTGGTTTGGCCTAAATATGTCTTTTTTTTTAATTTTTTTTTTTTTTTTTTTCCAAATTTCCATATATTTTTTATTTTTTTTCCTGATATTATTCTAAGTATAAGTTAAGTAAATCTAATTCTAGTCACTCTGTACATATTATTTAATACAAATGATACATTTATCTTTCTTTTAATTAAATTATCTCTAACTAATAATAACATAGCAGTAGTATAATTCTATTACCATTATAAATCTACTCCAGAACATTCTAAAATAGATTACATCATGATATTAAGTTTTGGTTTTTGTAAGAACCAAAGGAGAAAAAATATATAAACCGATATTAAAAACAATAAGCACTATATTTTCTTAAAAGTTTGTTTTGGATAGAACGTAGAGGATTTACATAAATTTTAACAGTGACGTAACTACCGGTGTTCAATGGTAGAGAATTGCATACCTAAAAATTCAGATTGACCGATTTGTGTACTGTAAAATACAAACTATAACCAAAAAGTAGAGATTTGCCAGCAATCTACACAGTACATATATATTTATTTTCTCGTTATTCTACTCTTCCACATTACTAATTGGATTATGACACTTTATTATTGTTCATTTTCTTACTTCTTACCACATAAAATATTTGTACTGCTCAGAAGCTCAATTTAGTCGCAAAGCGTCTCTGGTAGCAACTTTTTGATTTTATGGAACAAATTAATGTAATTTTGTTCAGAGTAATAAGTACAAGAGGGATAATTGCAAAGAGATGTTCAAAACTTAGATCAAGAACATTATAAGGTTTAAACCCTACGCGTTCGTCATCCAGACACGTTGTTATGTTAGCTTTAAGATCTAGCTAGGTACGTACGCGTTGACAAATATCATATTAACATCCAATGAAAACAAAATACTGAAGTCGATGAAAATATATTTATTAAAACAACGTTAAAATACGTACGAGAAGTAATGATTTTAATATTTTTGGAAGTGCTATTTTAAATCTCTCAGAAGTAGTTTCAAACGTCTGAGAAACTATTTGAAACCGTCTTGAACTCCAACCCTAGAAATTCGATAACTGAAAAATGAAACTTATAATCTTGCACCTGAATGAAACAATACAGCACGATTTAGTAGTAAAATAATAGAACGATCAACTATATTTTAATGAAAAATAATCTAAATGTCCTCGAATCAAACAAAGAGTTTTTCGAATTAATGAATTTTAAAATATTTTTTTATGAGTAATAAGTCAAATTAATAGATTTTCCGGTTTGTAGAAAATGAAAACTTTAAAATTTTAAAGAAATCTGTACTTTGCAACTATTGCGATGCAGCATTGTGACAGGAAGCAATAATGGTTCAGAACAAATATCTAGAAGACATAACATCAAAAATATTTCCAAAATATGTTTGTTTTAATGTGTATGTAATTTTTGCCTTGCTTTTTGCTTTTCTTCAGAAAATTATATATCAGGTATAATATAAAGAAGTGAAGACTTGAAGTAAGTAGTGTCCTAAGTGCCAAAATAATTATTTAATTTTAATTAATCTATCATAGCAATAATTGCTTTTTCTTTTCAGAAAATTATATACCAGGTATAATAATATAAAGTGAAGACTTGAAGAAAATAGGTTAAAAAAATTGAAGAAATTTGGTTAATTGATAAAATATAACATCAAAAAAGTTTTTAAAATTATAATGCAATAGTATTGCTATAAAAAAACCAAAAGGGCAATGAAACGTGTAAGAAAAATTGTTGCAAATTTATCATCCTCTTTCGTTCTAACAATCTAAACTAATCATAAGCATAATAGCCACAGGTACCACCCTTCAGTGAGCAAAGTACTTTCCTGAGGACCGATTCACATATTTCCTGTCTAGTGACTCATCAATCGTATAGGGAAATTGGAACAACTTTCGTTGTACGTAATCAATGACACCATTCGTCGTCTTATGGAGTTTGCTGGTGGTCGTATTATGATGTGCAACGAAAGTTATTTTAATTTCCCTATATACAAATAGCATAGGCTAGACAGAAAATTTCTTGCTACGAAGCTTACAGAATCCCACTGCTGTTTTTTTTTATAATATCTGTGTTATACAATAAAGAAGTAAAGTATTCAAAATATTTTTCTTTACAAATGCATTTACCGACGCATTTACAATGCTTTTTCAATACATTTTTATCAAAGCCACATAATGATTTATTGTCTTGTATTTGACTGTTGGAAGAAACATAAGTAATATAATATCCAGAATATTTGCGAAGAATTGTACTAGGTAATGAAAACGCAAACGATGCAGCGCTCCGCTTACGTCAACGCCACCGTGCATGGGACCTTGTCGTAGACCCATTAAGATTATTTTGTTTATGTTAGGATTTCGGAGAGAGACTGGCTGAGGAATAGGGAGGGCAGTCTATAGACCGACATTGATTGTACCATACGAATATTTCTGTATTCTGTTACGTTCAATTATTATATTAAAATACTGTTATTTAAAAGGTATTTCAATAATAAATAACCCATAAGTCTTGCATTAGAAAAAGACGTTTATTATTATTAGGATCCTTAACTAACTAATCATCTCAGTCACTTTTTATTGAATCCAGATCTGTATCCGGAAAAGAACCATGCGCGACACTACTTGTTTCACTTGTGTAGCTAGAGTCTACAAGGAAATTAAATAATTATATAACTTGATTTTTTATGAATCTTATGTAAAAGGAATTAATGTAAAATTTCATACCTATTCATGATCAATTTAACAAAACAAACTCTAATACAAAAATATTTAAACATGTAAATAATCAGAGCCCAGAGCATCACATCAAAATATATAAAAAATGTCTTGAAAAGACGGGTGGAGTTGATTTCGAGGAATCGCCTAGTAAAGATTTAAAAATAGCTGAAGGTCGCTAAATCGGTCTTTTTGCATTGCATCTGCGAGCGTTAGAAGCGGCAACACTGTCGGAGGCAAATACGAGCGAAGCCCTTATAATCTTATACAAGTAGGTGGTTAGTTAGACACTTTATATTCGGAGACGTATTGCATTTAAAAGTTTAGCGAAAAACTGTATATATAATTTCTATAAATTTGTTACCCCTCATGGGGAATTTAGAAAGCTTATCAATTATCGTCCCTATATATACCAAATATGAATAAAAAAACGTAATGGATATGGTGGAGGCTTGGGTGCCTGTATTTCATATGGAGGCCAATAAGATATGTATGCACATAAGCTTCTCAAATATATATATATATATATATATATATATATATATATAGCAGTGTTGTTGTTGCTATATATATATATATATATATATATATATATATATATATAATGACGCTCTTTACCATCTTTGACGGGAGATGCACTAATATCTCACCGACACTTTACGACATCGTCTGTAGATATAGAAGTTTTGCTTGCCGTATCGGTGAGAAACAGCCACTGGACAGCCCACCTGATGAAGGGTAGGCCCAGAAACCGGTTGTGGGAGTGCAGCTTGTTTCCCCTTTACGACAAGCAAAACAATTTTCTTTTACTTTTATTTGTTTTTTTAATTTTTCTCTACTTTCGATTTTTCGGAATTAGAAAAATACATGTGCCAAAGGCAAGAAAATATTATTATTATATATATATATATATATATATATATATATATATATATATATATATATATATATATATATATATATATATATATATATATATATATATATATATATATATATATATATATATATATATATAACAACAAACACAAGAAAGGAAATAAAGACGATTGCGATAACTATCGAGGAATTTCCGTGCTGAGCTCTGTTTCTAGGGTCTATGGAAAATTGGTCAAAATGAGAATTGAGGAAGAATACCGGGATATGGAGGCTGAAGAACAAGCGGGATTTAGAGCTGGTAGATCCACGGTCGACTATTTATTTACACTAACACAGATAATTGAGAAAAAGATGGCAAGAAATCAAGAAATACATCTCCTCTACGTAGACCTCAAGAAAGCATATGATAGTGTACCCCCGTCTAAATTGTAGGAAGCCCTCTAGAAAACGAATATCAGCATAACATTCATTAAGGCCGTCCAAGAACTTTATAAGAACAACACTAGCCAAGTAAAGAAAGGACAAACAGTATCAAAGGGATTCAGCATAAACATAGGTCTTAAACAGGGCTGCTGTCTATCGTCCACACTGTTTAAAATCTATTTGGAACAAGCTCTGAAAACGTGGAGAAGGAAGTGTGAACAGATGGGGATACCATTAAACGACTCGATACTTTACACTCTTTGTTTCGCTGATGATCAAATAATACTAGCTCAAGACTACGGGGACCTGGAATATATGACCCGCAAACTAATTGAAGAGTATAACAAGTGGGGGCTGGAGGTAAACCTTAAGAAGACGGAATATATGTGTATCGGCGGCGAACAACAGAACATAATCCTAGAACAGCAACAGCAAGAAATAAACAATGCTAAAAATATAAATATCTTGGCATGCCAACGATGGTAGCCTTGATGAAGAAAATAAATGCAGAAACAACCAGGGAAGACAAGCAATTAGACAACTCAACAGTATTTTATGAGATAAGGCCGTATCAAAAGAAAACAAACACAAAATTTATAACAGCATAGTTAAAAGTATCATTAGTTATGGTAGTGAAGTATGGCCTTTGAAAGAAAGAAACCTTAAGTTACTCGAAGCTACAGAAATGGACTTTAGGAGGCGCGCGGCCGGAAAATCGAAACTGGATAGTGTTAGAAATGAAAGAATTCAGAACATCATGGGCGTTAAACAACGAATATCAGAAGACATCAAAATTAACCAACTCAGGTGGTACGGGCACGTACAAAGAATGGAAGAGAACAGAATCCCGAAAAAAATACTCAATTGGACACCACAAGGCAAACGCAAGAGAGGGAGACCTAGACGGAGTTGGAGAGAAAGAATAGACGGGGACATCAGAACAAGAGGAATAGACGAAAACCTCTGGATAGACAGAGACCAATGGAGACTGGAAATCAGAAGACGTCGAGAACGTTATAAACTGATTTGTATATATATGTACAGTATCCCTACTTGCACAGAATAAACTTTACGATCTAGCAGATCTCCCTAGGGAGTTTTGTTTCCTTTTTTCGCTCATTTTTTCTAAACTATAAACCAAATCGCAGGCAGCATTTGGGTCCCATATCTGCCGTTCTCAATCTGGATTCAGGGATGTAAAAAACGGGACTAGTCTATGTTACCACCAACAAGAAGTAACATTATTTTTTTTGTATGAAGGGGAGTTTCAACCGTATGATTTTTTGTGTCCTTGGTTTTAAAATCATAGATGCTTCAGTACAATTAACCTCAATTTTATGATAATAATATTTCAAATGCTGTAGAGTTTAAATTGGTTTGCTGTTACGTAATTCTAAACAAAATGTTTTCCACAAAAAAAAACTAGAGTTGTTTTGAAAGCGGAAGTAAATACAAATAAGAAGTATAATGCATACTTTTCTTGGATGTGATTCACATTTCTTATTTTATTTTTTTCTTATCTATTTCCAATTTGTAGTGCAGAACAAGTCATCACGGCACAATAATTTCTAGAAAAAAAACTAGTATTGCCTTGAACACAGAACTTATTAAAAGAGTATTGCCTTAAGGAACATTTCAATACATAATTGTTTCGGATATGATTCACCTTCATTTTTTATTCAATTTGAAACCCAGAAATTCTTGCACACAATAAAATTCAAATATTACTTTTAAAAAGTAACTAAATGATGAAGTCGTGAGGTGAGAGAAATCAACACATAATCTTTTTAATTTGGGGTTATTCTATTTCATAAATATATTAAGGGTGAAGTAACAACCCAACATCGGATCGTCAACAATGTTGAAGAGCTAATATTTTCGCCAACTGTATAACAAACAATTTAAATGAAATAAAAGAAACCTACGTTGTGTTAAAAATATTTTTTATTGTGATTACCTGGGATGCGCCCGACAGAAGCAATATTTTGAGAATTTTGAAGACAATAGGTTATGTAAATAAAACGCTAAATTTCTAAATTGTAATTTTAAATGAAAAGAATGCCGTCCTCTGCCTGGAATTCACTAGTAAAAGGGCACGGCAGAGAAAACCCTCATCACTATTCCAGAGAATCTACCTATGCTGTCCTGAACTTTAATAAAAGAGAAATAATAATAATATAGAAACTGTCCTCATATCAAGGTTTGTAGTTTAATACATTCAAAACATGCCACATTTATTACATTCAAAACAAAAGTGTTTTTTGTTAGTCTGGCGGGTCCCCACCCGCTGGTACTAAGATCTCTTGTTGCGAGTCTCGAAGCTAAAGTTGAAGGTTTGGTGTCAATATCTTTAGATTATAAGTTATTCTATGAGTTATTCGACTTATTATTTTTGTTTGCCCTTTTGCGAGCTAAAGCAGTTTACACTGTGTCACTTTGGATGTACAACCAAAATGAATCACTCAGATTGAATTCATCCAAATTGAACATCCTTGTTTACATATTTTCATCCAGTTCGCAGCAGTTCACTGTTTCATTTTCCCCAGGCTGCCACCTCTCCCAGTGTTTTCGATATCGAGGTTGGCCGCACGGGTCGGCGTCGCGTCGGCTGTTTACATTTTTCACTTGCCGTTCAATCTGGATGAATCAACGGTTGGTTGACTTGGACAACTTGTTTCATCCTTCAATTTTAGTGTACACTCTGGATGAAAAGTTATGAAAGGCAATTTATACTTATCACTTTGGATGATTCATGCAAGTTGTACATCCAAAGTGACAAATATAAATGACCCTTAAGGATTCGCCCATGCACGGTCGAAAATTGTTAGTACACTCAACAAGGCCCTTATTCTCACACTGAACCACAAACATCAGCACGAATGGACAGTAAGCGATTGTATTTAGATTACTTTTAAACTGAAATTATTCACAGCATAATCGATTCCATTAATACATACATCTGTTATATCATATAATTCTCAGATGAAATATATAAGGAAAAACTTTAATACAGAATATTACAACAGACAAATAAGCTATATGATTTAGTTAACACTAGTTAAATAATGACAAAACATTTACTTTACCTTTAATAACATTCTTTGTCACAAAACTCACGAACCAAAATAACATCAATACGTCTCGAACGGTAGTCTCCAAGCTATTATTTAACAACTATTATCTCTGGTCATCGCCTGATTTTCCTCTGCCTAGTTTTTGTGTATAATATTCTAAAAATCAATAATTTTATTTATGTACACAGAGTGTCTTAAAACTAAATGTTTTTGAATTTAAAAGAATATGTTTATTTTTAAATAGGCGCTTCATCTCAAGGTGTCAGTTTAGACAACGGATTTGTCGGTTAGTCCTGAAATAAAATGAGGAGCTAACAATATTACGTTTACTTTAGCTTAGTTAAATCTAAAACCTGCTTGATTCTACGATAAACATTTTTCACCAGAACACTATTTCTATGTCCTTGCGTAAAATATAAAACGCCGTTGATAGCGAAGATGTTTAACCCTGGAAAATAAACCTGCAGGGTTAAATCCGCGCTGGCGGAACGATGGACGTCTTTCCCGTTCTCTATTCCAATTTTATTCCGGACCGTCCTTTAAAAATTGTTTTTATCCGTTTGTAATTTCTTTTCTGGACGCTCGTCCCCGACGCCAACTTTTACGATTCATGAAATATTCAAACATTACTCCAACTATCTATCGTATTTTATCGTAAAACTTTTATTGCCAATTTTATATTCCGTTATGCACCTACGTTTTATATACGATTTCCTATATTTTTACGTACTTACTACTCAGCGGCGTTTTGGTTTTACGAGAAATAAGATTTGCCAGACGTAGATTATTTCAGATATAATCTGTGTATCCGATATGGTATTTTGAAAAGGAGACCCATCAGAAAACATAAAATGTCTGAAATGTCTAACACACCTTCTACACTGTGTCTATGTTTTACGAAATATTTTCAGAAATATTTCGTGAAACATTTCGCACATGAATTATTATTATGTTTCGGGGGTTACTCGACTTACCTCCTCTTCAAATTATTTTGGAAAGAGAGGCGAGATGGGCTACATATAGGTTTCTAAATATGGCACGATAAAGCCAAGGAACAATCATGTTCACGCAAAACCGACTAGTAGACGCACTACAGTCGGATGAGATTCTGGGAAGGGTTTCCGATCTCACACCACCAGTCCAACTCTTGACACGCACCTACAACGTCCTGTTTCCGAATAGGGACGAATGGGATAAGCCGACAAAATTGGAGTTGCAATTGGATTGCATAGTACATTTTTATTGTTTAAGTTTGATGAATTTTGTAGATGAATATTTAAGAATGTTTTTTTTTTTCGGTATACATAACTCACATTTTTAATTTGTACCTATGTATACCTACAGGATGGCGCACTATATATAGGTACGGCAGTGAACGTGAACGCGTTGGTGTGTGCTAGAATGATCGCTCATATTATCGCTGCCCTGATCGTGATCGTTATCGCGGCCGTGATCGCACCAGTTTACATGTAGCTTAAATTAGTGGTTTCAATTAGCGTAGAAGTTTGTTCCTCTAGTTTCAGTGTAAGCATTCAGAACGTCAAAGGAGTGGTAGTCATTTTCAATTAGTAGAAAAAGTTAACAAGCTTTCACTAATTATACTTCAAAATTTACGAGGAATGTCATTTTCACCTTTGATTGTTTTATAAGCAAAATATTATGCTTTCTCTATAGATACCACCGACTACCGCAAGCAAGTATTTTTTAGACATTGTGAATGTAGATCGTATTCTAAAAAGTATAAAATGTAATTAAAACCGGTAATTTATATCACTAATTGCGAGGTTCTGAATGAAGCTTAAATACTGATTTAGTTTAAAGTTTTTAGTAACTCACGAGACTGGAAGTACCATTTATCAATTAGCTAAATTTTACATTAAAGTCAAGTGAGACTTAAAACTATCAAATACAAAAGTAAATTGGAAGTGATTAGTAATAATACATGCATGTACGATTATAGTTTTGCCTTTACTGTGTATCTACCGTTTTGTATATATGATATTTTCAGTTTATTTGTGGTTAGATTATTGACGTTTTATTAACAATCGCTCCAGGTAGAATTCGATTTGAAATTGAATTTGCCGAAACATAACATTTTGTTGTCTGCTATTGAATTTGTATGATATGTGAAAGCATACGTTCAATATATTTATTTTATGACAAGAACTATTTGTTAAAATATAAATGATGGTAAATATTACAAACAGATAACTACGGCATGGGCCAAACAAAGTTGCTTTACCATCATCAGAATATAGTTACGTTAATATTTGAAACACTGACATGCATCTGGCAGATTAATTTGCTGAATAAATTTGCTTCTTTTTTATATATATTTCAAAATTTATTTAAAAAATAAAAGGAAGATGATAATTAAATTGTACAATATGAAAAGTAGGTATATGCAATGCAAAAATATAATCCGTATAAAAGACTTAATATCGCATAATCTCCAAAACGCTGTCCTCAGATTTTTGTGTGTTTCCCCAACTATAACAGAATGTCGATCATCAAGATTCCCAACTTCTAATTTGTACAATTCATCCGAACGGCATGCTCCATGTAAACCGATTATAGCTATAACCTGTAATCAAAAAAAAACTTTTATACTTTATAGTTTTAAGGTTATTCTCAGTTAACCCTTAACAAGAAGATATTCATGATCTCCAGCAGTGCAAAGAAATTTAAAGCCAGAAGATGTCGTGTCTTCTGGCTTTAATTGTTTTTACTTTTTCGGTTTGTAACCTCTACATGAATGCTTCAAGAAAGCTATGAGCTTGCTATCTACAAAGTTTAGATGTTACTATACTAATACGGAAATTGAAACGGTATAGCTTATCCTTACCTTGAAATATCAATGTTTTCATTGGCCAGTATGGTACTTTTTAGCATTGAATAGTACGACCATAAACTGGACGGCTGTATTTTCTTTGATTTTTCAGAAAAATATGCTAAAAGTATGTTTTCACTTGATCTTTCTTCTCGCACGTTT